CAGGGCTAGAGAGCAGAGGGTGGGATGAGGAGGCTGCTCCTTCCAGGAACAGCAAGAACGCCCCTCCCGAGCCCCAGCCAGGCGTCAGTGACACAAACCCCGGCTGCTCGTCCCTGTCTCCCTCTGCACCTGTTGCTGTCCCCGGAGCCGGGGCCAGGCGCCACGCAGGAGTCCTCAGAGCTGTTCTCACATGTTCTTACCCCTCCTCCCCGGGGTGGCCCGGGGGACCTCTCACCTGCTCCCTGCTCATGTCCTCCGGGGCCAAGCCATCCACCACCGCCGGGCCTTTGCCCCCTTTCCCTTTCTTTCCTGCTTTCTTTTTGGGTGCCTGAAGACAGAAAGCCAACCACAGGAGGTGAATGGGTGAGGAGGAAAATGCGCTGTTCAGGGCCCCCGTGCCGGGCCCGGAGCATCCCGGCTCTCACGGCAGGGATGGGGCGACAACGGCGACACGGAGCCTGGAAGAGGCACAAGCACTGCCACTGCGGACCCAGCTCCGTGGTGAACCCCTCGGCACAAAACACCTGTACCCAAATAACGCCTGAGAAGCATCACCGCAGTGCTGAGAACGGCGTCCAGGGCTCCGTACACTCCCCGGGAGTGGACCGGGACACCATGGGCATTGCAGACATCGGGGCGCGGGGCTCCACCGCCCTCCCCTGCCCGCACACCCTGGCCGCAGGACACCCTTCAGTAGTCGCCGCAGTTCTCCCCTTGGCCCCGGTTCTCCTCTTGGCCCCGGTTCTCCTCCCGATCCCGGCCCGGGCGCGGGCCCGGTTCCGCTCTCACCATGGCGGCGGCCAGCGGCACCAGCGTCTCCGGGCAACGGATGGCAAATCCCGCGAGAGGATGGCGAAATTTCGCGAGAGCCGTACATCGGGGAGACGCGCCCCCTAGCAACGCCACGCTCCGCCCTGGCAACGGAGGCGGGGCCAGCGAGACCGGAGGGGTCGGGGACGGGACCGGGAGGGGACACCGGGGAGAAACGGGGGGACATCGCGGGGACCGGGCGGGGAGGAAGCGGCTGGAGGCGGTGTGAGGGAACGGGGAGGCGGGGGAGTTCGGGGAGGACTGGGGGGGACAAACCCGGGAGGTTCCGCTGTGCCCGGCATAGGCTCCTCCCTCCCCCGCGCCCACCGGTGTGACCCGGGCTGTCCCCACATCTGGGGTCCCCTGGTTCAGCTCCCGCACCCCCCCGGTCCCAGCTGCACCCCCGGTCCCCGTGTACGCCCCCCCGCTCCGCTCTTCCAGGTCCCCTTCGCGCCCTCTCTTGTCCCCCCGGTGCCTCCCGCCCCTCGGCTCCGCCCATCCCGGTGTCCCCGCCCCCGCCGCGGCGGGCAGGACCGTACGGGCTGCGGGCTGGCACCGGGCCCACCCAGCACCGGACCGGCACCGGCACTGGCACCAGCATCAGCCTCAACCCCGGCCCATGGCGGCTCCGGCAGCGGCCGCCACCGGAGGTGAGGGCAGGGGGACAGAGGGGGAGGCACGGACCGGCACGCCCATCACCGTGGAACCGGGCCGGGCCCCGCGGGGCGGACAAGGAGATGTAGGGCGGGGGTGCAACGGGAAGAGGTGCATGGGGGCGTATTGGGGTGCAGAGGGGGGCGTGGGGCCGTGCTGGGGGTGCCCGGCTGGAGGGGGAGAGGGATGTTAGGGGGCGGGGACAGGACATCGCAGAGGGGTCTGTTCAGAGAGAGTCGGGGATGGAGGGAGACAGCAGAGGGGTACCCAGAGAATGTGGGGAGCACATGTGGGTGTTCAGGGGTCTGAGGGAGCACAGGAGTGCCCTGGGAACTTGGGGGGCAGTGGGATGTTCGCAGGAGGTGGGGGTGCAGTGGGGTGACAAGGAGAGGCAGTGGGGTCGCCAGGTGATCAGACGGAGCAGGGGAGTGCATTGGGGACTTGGGGTTGCAATGGAATGCCCAGGGAATGCGGGGGGACAGTGGGGTGTCTGGGGGTGTAGAGGAGCAGTAGGGCGCGCACAGGACATGGAAGAACTCTGGGGTGCCCAAGGGACGTGGGGAGCAGTGGGCTACCTTGCAGACATCCCGCACAGCTGTGCCAGTGCCGGTGTGCGGAGGGGTTTGGGGACAGGGAGTTGGCTGTGCTGCTGCACCTGAGAGGGGCCCGGTATTCTGGGGGGGCTGCACCTGGCGACAGAGTCGGTGCCGGGGCTCCCCTGCACGCCCGTCCCTCCCCCGTATGGCCCGTAGCCGCCAGCACGGGGCAGGCCCGGCCGTGGCACCGGGGTAACGGCGGGACACCGGTCCCTTGAGGGGACAGTGCCCCTGGGGCGGGTTGCCGGTGCCGTGGGGTGCCGGTACCGGCGGCTGCCCGGCTCTGCGGTTGCCGTGAGTCAGCACACGTCGTGCGGGAGAGAGCCCTGATCCGGCCCCGCTCCCGCCAGGCAGCCGGTGAGCCCAGGCCGCAGCGGGCGGTGTGGCTGGTGACACTGCTGGGGACACGGCCCGTGGCACGGCGGGACCATGCAGGCAGAGGCCAGAGGGGAATTCTGCAGCCGGGACCAGCACCCTGGTGGGTGGGGGCGTGGTGCGGGCAGGGGGGGCCGTGCTCCTTACGGTGACACGCACAGTGTCACCCACCGGGTCTGGGCACTGCGCGGGGCGAGGTGGCGGGAGCGGGCAAGAGCGGGCGAGCCCCCGTGTCCGCCCCAGGAGGATCTTCTCTGTTCCGGAGTGGGATGAGGACCCCAAATCCCGCCTGATCCCCCGCTGCGGGGTCAGGATGTGGCAGAGTCGGTGTCGGGCAGAGGGCTGGTGTCCCACTGGTGTCCTGCCGATGTCCTACAGCTCCACGTGGCAGCAGCAGGAACACCCTGTAACATCCCTTTCCCCTTTGGGTTGGAGGTCTCTGTCCCTGCCCCGCTGTCACCATCCTGGTGGGAGGGAAGCAATGCCCATCCCTGTGCCCTGTCACCCGGTAACTCAGGGCTGGCACGGTTTGGTGGCCGCACGTGGCGCCAGGGCGCCGGCACCGACCTCGGAGGGACGGAGTGCTGCGTCCCCCTCGTGTTGCCCTGGGCATACAGGGCGTCCTCCCACCCTCAGTGCCCCCACTGTGTGCCACAACCACGGGCTGTAGCACCGCCGTGTGCCATGACCTGTGCCATGACCATGGCCATGTGCCACGGCCGCCTTGTCCCTCCAGCTCTTCCCAGGGACAGTCTCTGCACAATCCGCCCTTGTCCGGGCCCCGGCACAGGCTGTGCTTTGTCTCGCCGACACAAAGGGGCTGCGCGGAGAGGGGGGCGCGGGGCGGGGGCTGCCAGCTTCCGACACGAGGGTCTCGGGTAGCTCTGCTCGTCTCCCCAGTCCTCCCCGGGGGTCCTGCTGTCCCCGGCCCCTCAGCTGGGCACCCCGTGAGTGCTGGGGGGCCCCGAGAGGAGCTGCCCTCACTGACACAGAAGGTGCTGATGTGGCAGAGCTTGGCAAGGAGCCACTGGTCCCGGAGCGCCCTGCAGGGACCCCCACCCACGGGCCGGCCCAGGAGACCCCCCGAGTCCCCGCGGAGGAGCAGGGTGGCATCCCCATCCCCAGCGCCGGCCTGCTGCAGGTCACCGAGCGCCGACGTGAGTGAGGCCCCGAGCTGGGGTCCCTGCCTGTGCCTGAGGTCCCCTGCTTTGTCCCTGGGATGTCTGCCTGGCCCTGAGAGTCTTTTGTCAGCCCATGGGGTTTCCTGCCTGTCCCCAGTCCTCTGTCATCCTCTGGAGTCTCCTTCCTGTCCCTGGGGTCCCCTGACACTCCTAGGGTCCCCTGCCAGTCATGGCTTCCCCAAGCCCCTCATACCTCTAGGTCCCTGGGTCCCAAGCACCAAACCCCCGCCTCCCCCATGGGGACAGCGGTGGGTCCCCAGCCTGTCCCCGGTGCCCGCAGAGCCCCTGAGCAGCGTGTCTTCGCTGGAGGTGCACTTCGACCTGCTGGACCTGACGGAATTGACGGATATGTCGGACCAGGAGCTGGCCGAGGTCTTCGCCGACTCCGACGAGGAGAACGCGGCCGGAGAGACGCCCGGCGGTGAGCGAGGGTCCGGGGCCGCCGGTCCCGGTGTGTCCGCCCGTCCCGGTGCATCGCTGACCGCCCACTCGCCCGTGCGTCCCGCAGGGCTGCAGCCGCCGGCGGTGCCGCGGGCCGGGTACCTGCGCTCGCCCTCCTGGACCCGCGCGCGGGAGCAGGGCCGGGACAAGAAGCACCTGAGTGACCCTGAGCTGCCGCCGGGACCCCCGGACGCCTTCCTGCCCGCCGAGCGCCCGCGGGAGCCGTAGGGGCAAAGCCCGCCGGGGGACACCGGGATACGGCGGTGCTGGTCCCGTCGGTACTGATGGAGCCCGTCCCCGGGCGTAGGACTCCCGTTAGCCCGCCCGGAGGGCAGAGGCGGCCCCAGCCCCGCGGCGGGGACGTACCGGGGCTGCTCTCAGCCGCTGGCCCGCGGCCCCGGGGGGAAACCGGGCCGGCCCCGCCGGCCCCCGGGAGCGGCACGGCCTTGGTTGCCGGGAGCGGCGGGTGGGGCAGGACGGGACGGGTCGCACGGCTCAGCGCGGCCCGACGGAGCGCGGCCGGTGCCGGCGCCCGCCCGGTTCTAATGTAGCAGTGCTGTGATCCGGTAAAACCGACCGACCGACCCACCGCCGGCCTCTGCCCGTCTGCGCCGCCGCCTGGGGGAGCGGGAGGAGTTGGGGACACCGAACAGCTCGGGAGCAGGGGGAATGGGGCGTGCCCGGCCGGTACCGGGGCAACGTGGCCGCGGCCATTCTCGATGGGCTGGAGACCGGCGGTGACTGCGGCACATCCCCGGTAACGCCGCGCAATTCCACCCCGCGGGCGGCGCTGGCCCGCGGACCGGCCCAGGACGGTCCCGGTGCTCGTCCCCGGCAGCCCCAGCCTCGGCGGGAGCTCCCGGGCTGCCAACCCCGGGCATTCGCACATCCTGCCCGTGCCCCCGGTGCCCCCCACCGCCGCCCGAAGCAGGGACACGAGTGCTGGGTTGCGCAAAGAGGCTCGTTAATGCTACAGGAAACACCGGGGAGAAAGGGAGGCTCCACACCGCACCCGGTCCAGCCCGGGGAAGATCCCACATCATCCCCTCGGGGGCTCGGCCCCGGTAACGGGGTGCCGTGGGCTGGAGAAAGAGCGTGTGTGGGAGGGACTCGGTCCCATCCCGGTGCCAGGGCTGAGCCCTCCTGACACAGCTGTCACCCCAGGACAGCACAGCACCAGCCCTGGCCTGCACCCCGGTTCCAGGCAGGGACGACAGGAGCCACTGTGGGGCCTTAACCGGATCCCAGTAAACCCAATCCTGGCCCCTCCGGTGAGGCTCTCCATACTCCCGGGAATGGCTGGGGTCCAGCAGTGATTTCCTCCCGGCAGTGCTGCATTTCCATGAGCAGAGGATCCCAGAGCCAGGCCATCCCAGTCCCCAAACCACCACTGGGCTGATTGTGTCCATCCCAGGGCCCTGCGGTGTGTGAGGGGCAGTCTTGGGCCTGAGACCCCACAATGGGGCCACACCCTCCTCAAGGCTCTGCCTCCGTGCCGGAGTCCTGGAACAAGGATTGCTTCCGCAGGCTCAGCCGGGCACACCGGGGACAGGTGGTGGAGTTGTCGTAGTAGCAGTCCCTGGAGGGGGGGGGACAGTGTTGGGTCACCCCCTGCCACCCCCATGTCCCCATACCTCCCCCAGCGTGTCAGTACCTGTGGAAAACAGCAGAGCAGTCGGCGCAGACGGAGGTGTGGCTGTCGAAGGGGAAGAGCACATCGCCCTCGCGGCACAGCTCACAGACGAAGCCCTTGGCCTGGCATCGCTGGGGGAGCAGGCAGGAGGTGACAATGGTGACCACGCCAGCCCTCCAGTAGCCCTATGAGGGTGTCCCCATGGCTCTGCCCCACAACATGGGCTCACCTCACAGTCCAGCTTGATGTGCTTGGCAAAGAGCGTGTGGATCTCAGTGAGGGAGCAGCCGAGGCGCCCGGCCTCGATGTCGATCAGGTCCTGCAGCGAGTACATCTCGTCGTTCTCCACAAAGTGCTGCCTGTCCTGCAGCTGTGGGCAAAGGGGGCACTGTGAATGCCACCCCTGTGTGACCGCCACCACCACGCCTGGCCCCGCCCCCCGGCCTCACCTGCAGCAGCAGCCGCGCCTCCATCGCCTCCTTGCAGGTGATGAAGTAGGGCTTCATCAGCAGGATGTCCTGGCGCAGCTTCTGCAGGGGACGGCATGGCATGAGGTGGGAATGGGGACAGGAATGGGTGTAGGGGCAGCGATGAGACAGGGACAGGAAAAAAGGCAGAGGCAGGGGCAGGATGAGGACAGGGGCAAAGATTGGATGGGATGATAATGGGGACAGGGATTGGATGGACATACAGACAGACAGGAATGGGGACAGAAATGGGAGTAGGAATGAGGACAGAGTTGTTAACAGGAGCATGACAAAAAAGAGATCAGATTGGGTCAAGTTCATCCCTGTTACAGTCTGGACACCCTCTGCGCCCCAGACCTCCCACTTCACCTTGCTTCCTCTCTGTGGGACCCAGTGGGTGCCACTTGGTTCCCCCACTCCTGCTCACCCCACAGGCCCTCTGTGGTGTCCCCTGCCCTTGTGGGGTGTCCTCCCCAGATCCAGCACTCACCCGGATTTCCACCAGCTCCTCCACGTAGTTGAAGAGCAGTGGGTTGATCTCCCGCAGCTTCAGCACCGGCCGTGACACCATCAGTGCCAGGTACCTCATGCTGCACCGTGACACCTGCCCAACACCACCAGGGCCACCATCACGCCCTGCACCTGCCAGCCCTGCTGCTACCACAGACCCCTGCCAGGGACCCATCACAGGGACACAGCCCTGGGGACACAGCCCTGGGGCATGGCTTCCCCTCAAGTGATCTCTGCCCAGCGACCCCCATAACAAGGGACATGACCCCCATGATCAGGGATGTGTCCCCAAAGTGACATCTACACAAGGCCACGGTCCCCAGGGACATACAAGTTCAGGGATGGGAGTCCCCCAAATGACCTCTACCAAGGGACATGCTCTCCAGGGATCCCCATGACAAAGAGGACACGGCTCCCAAGTCACCTCTACCCACGGATGCACCTCCCAGGGACCCCCATGACTAAGGACATGGCTACCCAGGACCACTGTCCCAAGGGACTTCTGTGCCCCCACCCCATGCCAGGGGCACCTTGCGGGGCTCGAAGTCCCAGTTGTGGATGGCACGGGCGGGCACCACGGCCAGGTCGTTCCAGTGGCAGCTGGAGCAGTAGTAGAGGCCAGTGTAGTCGCACTGCCGGGCCTCGCTGGGCACCCCCCCTGTGGTGGCACAGGGCTGGCATGGGGCTGGCACTGCCACCGCCCTGCTCTCTGCTCACCCCACACCCTGTGCGTGCTCCCAGGACACCCAGCAACACCTGGGGACACGGCAGGGCCCCACTGTCACCTTCCCCAGGTCCCCATAACTCCCAGCCCCCAGAGCCCAAACCTTCAGCTCCTACCAGCCCCACACACCTCCCAGCCCACAGCCCCTCAGTCCCAGCAGCTCCCCCCAGCCTCCCAGAGCCCCCCTAAGGGAGCCCAGCCCCACAAGCTCTCATCTCCCCCATGGTTTTACAGAGCTTCATGAAGCCCCTAATCCTACACTCCCCAGCCCCACAGAGCTCCCAGCTCATCCCAGCCCTGTATCACCCACAGAGCCCCAAACTACCAGTTGCCCCCAGCCACTCCAGCCCTCCCAGCCTTAGTTTCTCAAACCCCACAGAGCCCCATTACCCACAGGCTGCCCAGCCCCAGAGCCCCCAGCTTCCCCCAGCCCCAGAGCTGGCCCCAGCCCCCCTGGCAGCAGCAGCAGGGGCTCACGGAGGGAGATGGGGGCCCGGCACTCGGCACAGCGATAGTCCTGGCTGTCCAGTCCGCTCTCGGGGCAGATGCTGAGCTGGTACTCGGCCTGGTGGCTCACCTGGGCCCGCACACACGGCCGGCTCACCAGCGGCAGGCACTTGCTGTGGCACCGGTAGTAGCAGCCTGGGGGACACAGGTCTGGGTGTCAGTGTGGGCATGGGGGAAAACAGGGACGTGGAGGGGATGTCCCAGACTCACCTGTGCAGGTGTACCAGGTCTGGATGAGCCCCCAGATGATGGTGCTACACTTGTCACACATCTGCTTGACGCTTTTACTCTTCTCCTTGTAGAAACGATGTTCCAGGACCACCCGGATGTTGGGCTCATCCTCAGCAGGGTCCTGCAGGGGGAAAGTGGGGTCAGAGAACTAAAGAATGATGGGATGGCTTGGGTTGAACCTTGAAGCTCATCCCATTCCATCCACAGGGAGACACCTTCCACTATCCCAGGCTGCTCCAAGACCTGTCCACCCTTCCAGGGATCAATGTCAGCATGAAGCCCCAGGCATAGAGACCCCCCTGGCCCCAGCTCCAGCCTCAGCCCCACCTTCAGCTCCTGCAGCTTGAGGCGGAGGTGGATGAGCCGAACCACGGCGTCCTTCTGCCGCTCCGAGTGCTCGGGCAGAGCCAGGATCACCCTCTTGCACTCCTCAATGGCCCGGCGCAGCTGCGGCACGTCCGACGCCAGGATCAGCCCCTGCCACCACCACCAGAGAAGGAGGAGGGTGAGCTGAGCCCCCCATATCCCCCCCCATCCTCACAACACCCGCCCCACTCACCACGGGGCGGGAGAAGTGGTCCTCGGCCAGCCCCAGGTCCAGGGCGCCCTCGGGGTCCCCTGGGGTGGGATCCGGCTGCTGGGCTGCAAAGTGGGGTCTGATGGGGGGCTGAACCCACCCCCAGAATAGGGGGTACCATAGAGGGGCCATGTACCAGTGTGGGACAGGGAGTGGGGTGGGGGATCAGCACCCACCTGGGGCAGGGGATTCTTCATCAGGGCGCTCCAGCTGCTCTGGGGTCTTGTTGAAGGGGTTCAGGTGGGCCTGGCGGAAGCGGGCCAGCCGCTCATCTGACGCCATTGCCGCCGTCCTGCTGGGGAATGGGCACTGCCTCAGTTACCCCAGCACTGGCACCATCCATCACCAGGCACCAGCACCCCGTCACAGGCACTTGCACTGTATCAGCAGCACCCACACCCTGGCACGAGCACAATCACCCCATCACAGGGACCAATAGCACCTCAGCAGCACCGACACCGCCACCAGATGTCCCAGCACCAGCACTGACATGCCAGCACCAGCAACGCTGTCACCAACACCTTGTTACCAGCACTGACACCCCGGCACCAACTCCCTGGCACTGCCACCTCATCACTGGCACTTCCTCACCAGCAGCAACACCCCAGTACATCCACCGAGGGTACCAGCAGTGCCACCGACACCCCAACACCAACGCTGAAATCCTGTCACGGGCACTGACACCCCTGCACCGACACCTCCTCACCGTCACTGACACCCTGGCACACCCACTGAAACCCCAGCTAGCACAAACACCGACACCGGCACAAACACCGACACACCGGCACCGGCACAAACACCGGCACACCGGCACTGCCATAAACACCGACAGACCGGCACCGGCACAAACACTGACACCGGCACACCGGCACCGGCATTCTGTCACAAGCACCAACACCCCAGCACCGTCCCCGTCCCCAACCTCCTGGTCCTGGCACCCTACCCCGTCTCCGTTCCCGTCTCCGTTCCCGTCTCCGTTCCCGCGAACAGACGCGTCTCTCCGCCTCCCACGCCCGTGCCCCCGCCCTGCCCCGCCGCCACCGCCCGCTTCGGCCCACGGTCAGCACGTACCGGCACCGTGCACCCATCCCGGCGCCCCGAGGGCCCGGCTGTCCCCGTTGTCCCCGCGCTGTCCCCGTTGTCCCCGCGCTGTCCCCGCAGCCCCCGCCGAGCCCCTCCCGCGCGCCCGCCAGGGGGCAGCGCCCCCGCCCCGCTCACCGCCGCGCGCCGCCGCGCCCGCCCGCGCGCCCCGCCCCGCCCCCTCCAGGCCCCGCCCCTTCCAGGCCCCGCCCCCTCGCTCACTGCGTGCTGCTGCCCCCTGCCGGCCGGCAGACCGCACTGCGCCGCGCCGCGCCTGGGCGGGGCCGATCCGCGACATCCGCACTGTCCCCACCCTACAGCCCCCGGCCCCACTGCTGCCATCCGCACTGTCCCCACCCCACAGCCTCCCGGCCCCACTGCTGCCATCCGCACGGTCCCCACAGCTGCAGCTCCCAGCCCCACCATACCTTGTCCCTACAGCCCCCATCCCCATAATCCACAGCCTCCATCCTCACTGTCTCCACCCCTACAGGCTCCACCCCTAAAGCCTCCATCCGCACTGTCCCCACCCCACAGCCCCCAGCCCAACTGTCTCCATTCATACAGCCCCTTGTTCCTATACCCCGCAGCCCTGCTGGCCAGTAGCCTCCGAAGCCAGGGGGCTCAGAACCAGGAGTCTCCTGGATCCTCTACAGCTGGGCACACACCTAGCCCTGGGGAAACACCCTGGGGTCCCTGGGGTCTGTGCTACCACTTCAGCTTGGGGAACAAAGGGCCAGCTGTGTCCTGGCACAGGGAGGTGGCTGCCACACCCCCCCAGCATGGAGAAGGGTGTCAGCGGGGACAAAGGCACAGCTTCTCTGGGGCAGCTGGATCTGAGGGGTAGAAGGGTGGGGGGTAGTGCATGGGGGCTTCCCATTTGCCTCCTCTAGCTGGGAATGGCTGGGGGGCCGAACCGTGTGGGTGTCCCCTGTCCCCCCCACCCAGCAGCCACAGACAGGTAGTACCTGGACAGCAATAAATTTATTAAGTATTCAAAAAAAAATAATAAGACACAAACCAGTAAAAAATGAAAAGGGGGGAGGTAGGAAGGGGGGCAAGGGGCCGAGCCGGCTCAGGGGGGGATGGGGTCAGGAGACACTGAGGGGATGGCGGGGGAGCAGCACCTGGGGGCTGCAGCAGCGCGAAGCCGGGGGGCTGCGGGCAGTGTTGGGGGGCGGCGCCGGGCGTCACTTGGCGCCCTGCGCCTCCGACTCCTCCTCGTCGTCCTCGTACATCTCGCCCTCCTCCTCGGCCGTGGCGTCCTGGTACTGCTGGTACTCGGACACCAGGTCATTCATGTTGCTCTCGGCCTCGGTGAACTCCATCTCGTCCATCCCCTCGCCCGTGTACCAGTGCAGGAAGGCTTTGCGGCGGAACATGGCTGTGAACTGCTCCGAGATGCGCTTGAAGAGCTCCTGGATGGCTGTGCTGTTCCCGATGAAGGTGGAGGACATCTTCAGCCCCCGTGGAGGGATGTCGCACACGGCCACCTTGACATTGTTGGGGATCCACTCCACAAAGTAGGAGCTGTTCTTGCTCTGGATGGCCAACATCTGTTCATCCACCTCCTTCATGGACATGCGGCCACGGAAGACGGTGGCCACGGTGAGGTAGCGGCCATGGCGGGGGTCACAGGCAGCCATCATGTTCTTGGCATCGAACATCTGCTGGGTGAGCTCGGGCACGGTGAGGGCGCGGTACTGCTGGCTGCCACGCGCCGTCAGCGGGGCAAAGCCGGGCATGAAGAAGTGCAGCCGCGGGAAGGGCACCATGTTGACAGCCAGCTTGCGGAGGTCAGCGTTGAGCTGGCCGGGGAAGCGCAGGGAGGTGGTGACGCCGCTCATGGTGGCCGAGACAAGGTGGTTGAGGTCGCCGTAGGTGGGGGTGGCCAGTTTGAGGGTGCGGAAGCAGATGTCGTAGAGCGCCTCGTTGTCGATGCAGTACGTCTCGTCCGTGTTCTCCACCAGCTGGTGGATGGACAGCGTGGCGTTGTAGGGCTCCACCACCGTGTCCGACACCTTGGGGGATGGCACCACGCTGAAGGTGTTCATGATGCGGTCGGGATACTCCTCCCGCACCTTGCTGATGAGCAGGGTGCCCATGCCTGAGCCGGTGCCCCCGCCCAGCGAGTGGGTCAGCTGGAAGCCCTGCAGGCAGTCGCAGTTCTCACACTCCTTCCGCACCACATCCAGCACCGAGTCCACCAGCTCGGCCCCCTCCGTGTAGTGCCCCTTTGCCCAGTTGTTCCCGGCACCGCTCTGCCCTGGGAAAGGAAAGAGGCTCCGATGGCCGCTGGCCCTCCACGCCCACGGCCCGAGGGGATCGGGGAGAGGATCAGGGCTGGGACCAGCCGCTGCCGCCGGCAGCACCGGGGAGATCTGACGCCGGGGCGGGGTGGGAAGCAGGAACCGCAGAGGTCTGGCGGCGTGCCGGCAGTGCCGAGCCCCGCGGCGCGGGAGGGGTGCGCCCACCGAGTGCCCCGGGGATGGCGACTGGCCGGGCGGGTCCGAGGATGCAGGGACTGAGGGGAACATCGGGGGACGGTGCACCCCTCCCTCCCCGGAGACCTACCAAAGATGAAGTTGTCAGGGCGGAAGAGGTGGCCGAAGGCACCCGAGCGCACGCTGTCCATCGTCCCCGGCTCCAGGTCCACCAGGATGGCGCGAGGCACGTACTTGTGAGCTGAGAGAGACCCCATGACGGGAGGGGACCTGCTGCCGCCCCCCCATCCCACCCCACAGGTGTTTCCCAGCACCCTGCAGGGTCCTACGGGGCTGGGTGCGCAGGTCGTATCCCCCTCAAATCCTAGGAGCTCATAATGTGGGTGCACGTCTCAGGTCCCCCAGACAATGGGGGTCACACGGGGTGGGTGCACATGTCTGTCTCTATTCCCCTCCGCACCCCGCTGCCTCCGTGGATGTTCGTGTTTTGTCCCTCCCACACCACAGGATCCTGCAGGTTGAGTGCAGGTGTCCCTCTATCCTTAAACCACAGGGTCCCATGGGACTGAGTGCATGTGTGGTGTCCTCCTCACACCACAGTGTCCCATGGGGTGCGTGCAGGTGTCATGCCCCCACCCAAACTACAGGGTTCCATGAACCTGGAGGCACATGTGCACCCACTCCCTCAGACCCTCTAGTCTGGGGGGGGCAAGGGGGCACATGTCTGCCCTCTTGGGGTCCAACAGGGCTGGGGTGCAGGTGTTGTGTGTGACCCCTCCCAAATCGCAGGGTCCATGGAACTGGGTGTACATGATTTCCCATGCCCCAAACTAAATGGTCCCATGGGGTGGGTGCAGTGCCTGCCCGCCCCACACCCCCATTGGGTGGGTGTGTCTATCTGCCCCCCCCTCCACCCCAGCAGATCCAGCCTCTCCTGCACTAGGGGTCAGACTGGGGCCTCACCCCCCAGCCCGGGGTGGGGGTGCCCGGCTACCCCGCCAGGGGAGGTTCGGAGGGGGAGTCGCTTACAAGAGGCCTCATTGTAGTAGACACTGATGCGTTCAAGCTGCAGGTCCGAGTCCCCCACGTAGTTGCCGCTGGGGTCGATGCCGTGCTCGTCGCTGATCACCTCCCAGAACTGGGGAGGACGAAGAGCTCAGCAGGGCGGGAGGGACTGGAACACCCCCAGGTCCCCGGGCGAGGCACGGGGCACCAGAATCCTCCCAACACTAGGCAGGGCTGGGTGGGGCAAGAGGCACTGGGATACCCCGAACACTGAAATCCCCGGGCAGGGAGGGGCGGGGGGCACCGGGATCCCCCAAACACCCAAAACCCCGAGTAGGGCGGGGGGCATCAGGACTCCTCAAACCCCGGGACAGAGTTCAGCGGAGCGAGGGCAGGGGTATCCCCCAAACACTCAAAATCCCGAGCAGGGCGGTGGGCACCCCCAAACACCGAGCGGGGCTCAGCAGGGCGGGGGGCACCGGGACCCCCGAACGGCGGGCGGGGCGCGGCGCGGGCGCTGTCCGCGGTGCTGACGGACAAAGGCGGGGGGCGGGGGGCGCTTTGTCCTCCCGGTGCGGCGGCGGTAGGGGGGGAGGGGAGCGGGTCTGTCTTTGTCCGCCGCCCGTCTCCGCCGCGGCGGGCGGAGCGGGGCGGCGGCGCCGTTACCTTGGCGCCGATCTGGTTGCCGCATTGCCCCGCCTGGATGTGGACGATCTCCCTCATGGTGCGGCCGGGCCGGAGCGGAGCGGGACGGGAGCGGGCTGGGGCCGGGAGCGGAGCGGCACCGGAGCGGAGCGGCACCGGGAGCGCGGGGGGAGGCGCGGCCGCCGCCGCATCCTTTATAGGCTCCCGCCGCCGCACCGGACCGGCCGCTGACGTCACCGCCGCCCGCAGCCAATCAGCGGCCGCCGCCGCAGCGCCGCAACAGCCCTGCGGCACCGGCACCGCCCGCCACGCCCCGCCCGGCCCCGCCCGCGGCCACGCCCCGCCGCGGCGGAGAGGGGACCCCGGCACCCGCGGGGAACACGGCCAGGGGGGCACCCTCGGCACCCGCGGGGAGCGGGGACACCCCCGGACCCGTGCGGGAGCCATGGGACCACCCGGCGGCGGCGGGAGCATCCCGGGGCGGCGGCGGCGGCGGGGTGGGGGGACACACGCGTGACACCCCTCCCAACCGCGTCCCGGAACGGGGAGGGATAGGGACAGGGTACGGGAGAGGCACCCTGGGGGTCCCGGTCGCCGGTAGCCCCCGCGGGACCGGGGACAGTGACGGTGCCAGTGACGAGGTGGGCGGTGGCAGGCGCGGCACGAGAACAAAGGCGACGGTGATGGGCCCTTTGTCCCGGGGCGGCCGGGGCCGCCCCCGCGTGAGGTCCAGCCTCCCGCCGCCCAGCCGGTCCTTCCCGGTTCCCACCGGGAGCAGGTGACCCTTGACCGACCGGCGGGACCGGGAGGGACCTCTATCCCGGGGCTCCCTGGGGCTCCCCGATGCCAGCCACAGCGTCACTGCAAAGAGCCTTTATTGGGAACCGTGAGTCTCTCGCACGGAGTGGGCACCCCGCGGCTCGTCCTGTCCATCTGTCAGTCCATCCATCTGTGCATTTCGGGGTGGGGGTGACCATGCCGGTACCGTGTCCCCCTGCCTAGAAGGAGCACGTCACCACCTCCCGCAGTGTCCGCCGGAGCTCCTGGCTCCTGAAGGCGTAGATGAGGGGGTCAATCACCGAGTTACAGATGATGAGGATGAGGAAGAGATTGAAGTAGCTGAAAAAGCAGGTGCAGAAGGGGTTGGTGGGACAGGTGACGACGAGAATGAGATGGAAGAAGAAGGGCCCCCAGCAGATAAAGAAGACGCCCAAGAGGATGGTGAGGGTGACAGCACCCTTCAGGCTGCCACCACGGTGAGCAGTGGGTGGCTTTTGCTGGCTGGAGATGCTGTGGAGGTGGTGGCGGGCCAGGGCAAACATGTGGATGTAGAGCACCAGCATGAGGACCAGCATGAAGAGGAAGAAGCCGATGAGGCAGAGCAGGATGGTGTTGCTGCTGAAGTTGATGATCAAGGTGGTGCTGGAGATGGTGCTGGCCAGCCAGACGCTGGCCATGGTGACCACGGCACGCTGCAGCGTCATGATGCTGTGGTAGCGCAGGGCATAGAAGATGGTGATGTAGCGGTCGATGGCGATGACCCCCAGGAAGGAGAGGGAGGACACGACAGAGCTGCAGATAAGCATGTCGATGACGCTGTCCATGTGGCGGACGATGCTGGGGCGCATCACCAGCATCCCGTGCTCCAGCAGCAGCATGAAGAGCATCTCCGCTAGGTTGCTGATGCTCACCAGCATGTCCGACACCGCCAGGCAGCAGATGAAGTAGTAGGTGGGCGAGTGCAGGTTCCTGTTCTTCAGGATGGCGGCCACCACCAGCAGGTTCTCCACCAGGCTCACTAGCCCCAGCGCCAGGAACAGCTCGTTGGGAATGTCCAGCCCCTGGCACCAGCCACCACTGGCCCCGACCGTGGTATTGCTCTGGTTGCCCTCGCTGGCATTCGAGGGCTCGCGCAGCAGACGCAGGGGGGCCAGCGTCGACATGGCCCCCTCCTCAGCCCCGGGGCCACCCGTGGCACCTGCACAGCCCCCGAGTCCCCGTTGTGCCCCGCCAGTTCTCCCGCGGCGCCCGGCGGTGAGGCCGAGGGAATGCCGAGGAATTTGGGACGGGAGGCGTGGGACGTGCTGGGGGTTGTTGTGTGCCCGCGGGGACCCTCCGGTGTGGCCGCCGCTCTCTGTGCCAGCACTGCCCCGAGTCCCACGCCCGCTGGCCCAGGGTGCTGGGGAAGAAAGGGCCCTTTCTCTGCCCCACTTTAAAGCCAGATCCCGCAGCTCCTCCTCCGAGGAGGGTGGGCACCTGCATGAGGGAGGCACCCTGGCAGTGAGGGGGGCCGCTGCTGAGGCCAGGCTGAGACACCTCCAGGATGGCCCTGGGGAACCCAATTGCTTGGGATCACCGTGTGCCCAGGGGTCTCAAATGCCCTGGCGTGGTCCACGCAGCCCTAGGGTCATGCACCTTGGGGTCTTCTGTGCACCTTAGGGTCTCCACGTGTCCTGAGGTCCTGCCTCTGCTGGGTGTCTTGGGGGGGTCCCATCTGCTGTGGGGGTCATCCACACACCCTGAGCTATCCATACACCTTGGGGACCCCTGCAGGACCCTCTGCACTGCATGACCCGAGCTGTCCCACGCATTGGGACTGGGAGGGGTCCCACTGCCATGGCCCCAGGGAAGATGTTGTACAATGGGGCAGGCATGAGATGTGACAGGAATCGTCAAAGGCACGATTAAATGGGATGCTGCAGAGCCCGGATCCCAGGCAGGCAGGGTGGGGACAGGACCCATCTGACCATCATGTGCCTTAGGACCATGTTGATGCCTGAAGCCCAACGGCTGCCAAAGAGCCATTCACAGCTCCACAAAAAGGTTGATCCCACGCTTATCCACTTCCGTTGGGAAGCCCTTCCCTCTGGCATGGATGAAAATGGCTCAGCTGCACACACCGGGCATAAGGTCCCAGGCTGCCAAATAACAGGGATGGGATCCCATGGGATTTGGATATACCAGTGGGGAATGGAGCCGGGGTGGGCTGGCTTGAGACTCGGGTCACACCGGGCCAACCCACCCCAGCTACATCCCCCAGGGAGGCAATATAGCAGAAACAGGGATTTATTCCATGTATTCATCATTACTCGGCAAAAAAGGGGTAAAAAGCTTTACGGGAACAAGGATCAGTTAAAGTTTGACTGTGGTTTACCTTGATCCTGGCTCTAGAAGGTGAAGGTGAGGGAATAAAGGATAGATAAAGAGGGAGGAAAAAGATTTCTTCTCCAAACATAATGAAAAGGCTGAAAAAGCTGTTCCATGCACAGTTCTAGTGGCATAGGGGACTCTGAAACCTTTGGAAGGTTCAGTGTAGTGAGGGTGCAGAGTATTTTGTGGAGGGAAGGAAGCTCCAGGCTACGGGAAGCACAAAGGAGCTGAAGAAGAGGGCAGCAAAACCCCTGTGGGAATTAAGGACAAGAGGCAGAATAGGGAGGGGAATAGGATGGAAATTGTGTGTAGAGGAGGCCAGAAGGGGACTAAGCTGCCATGGGGACAAGGGACAGCTGCTGTTGATTAGCTCGGACATGCTCAGTCAGCCCTTGTCCCCTGTTCAGAGAGGGGCCCTGGGCTGTGGATTCAGCCCCCCCTCCCTGGATGGAGACCGTGGATGCAGCCCCACTCCTCAGAACAGCCCATTCCCACAGCGAGTCCATTTGTCTGACTTTATTGGAGTGCAACACAAATCGGGGGGTGATGCCAGAGGGTTTGGAGGGAGACACCCCGGGATCAATCCCAGTCACCATCACCTTCGGGATTGTCGTCGCGGGGGGGCTCCTGGAACTGGATGTTGGCCAGCATGTCCCGCATGGCCGCCATCAGCCTGTTCACCCCCTGGTTGAGGTCCTGTGCTGCCCCGGCCTCGTCGTCCCCGTCGTGCCGGATGTCCCCCTACGACACAGCAGCACTGTGGTGGCAGGGACAACACTGGTGCCAAATTAGCACCCAGCTGTTGCCAGCAGTAGGTCCTGGAGCAGGAACACCATGGGGGAATGGTGCACCCAGCGTGCACTCACCTCCAAGTTAAAATTTGGCAGCAGCGAGCGGAAGAAGAGGGATAAAGTGCTTTCATTGGAAGGATGGCTTGTCCTGAAAGACACAAGTGGCACTATGGTGAAGGTACAGCTCAGTTTGTGACTCTTCAATGGGATGTGGCGGTGCTGGGAGAACCATGGTGCTGCTGGAATGAGGGATGGAACTGGGGGGCTCCAACGGGATTCTGGATTCAGGCAATGCTGAGCAAACCAGTTACTAAAAGCACAACCAAGGCCAGGTTGGCAGGGGCTTAGAGCAACCTGGTCTAGTGGAAGGTGGCAGGGGGTGGAATGAGATGAGCTTTAAGGACCTTCCAATCCAAACCATTCCAGGATTCCATGATACTACCAGCTCTGCTCTGAGGGGGTTGGTGTGGAACACACACATGGCATCACCCCCAACACCAGGACTGGCTGTATTTAAATCTCCATTGACCCCAAACCCTCCCAGTCAGCCATGGCCTGGGTTTTCCCTGGCTTTTGCCCTATGGCTGGGGTCACCAGTGGTGACCATCACAGGAAGCAGCAGAACCAGTCCAGCCTGTATCTCTGCCTGCCTGGATCTCCTCCTCTGCCATGGAGGAGGAAATCAGCACTGAGTGCCCGTGTGCAGCCTGGTCTGGGGCTGAGGGCATGCCAGGAACACGGCTGGTTGTGCCAGCGCAGGCACCAGCGGTGCAGGTGGTACCTTTCTGGTCGGGTGTAGGAAACAATGGAATCCAGAGGAGGGAGAGGGTCAAACCCCATCACTGGCTGTGATGTCACCTCCTGCAGGGAGAGGAGATAGGAGGGGATGAAGGAGAAAAGAAGGGATGAAGGCTGTGCATCCAGCAGCAGCCAACATGGGCCCACAGAAGCCGTGAGTGACAGGGGCTAGGATGGGGCCAGAAGGGACACAAGTGCCACCACAGCAGGTGCAGCCACAGCCCCTGTGTCCCATCAGGCCCCTCACCAGAGGCAGGGCTGCTGTTGCCTCCTTCATCTCCGAGAGGATGATGTGCCGGTAGATGTTCCTGGGAGCGCTCTGGTATCGGATCTTCCTCCTGAGGCAGGGAGGGGACAGAGCAGTGAGACCTGAGCAGGCACATTCCCATTTCTGCTGCTCCAGGTGCAGCATCAGCAGCTTCCCTGGATCTGGGGGACAAGGCCATATTGGATGGAGCTGGCTCAGAGCAAGCCAAAGGGGGTGGCAGCTGCTGAGCTCCGGAGAAAGAGCGGAGAGCTCAGGAATGAGCAGACTGACCTTGCTTTAGGACACCTGATGACTCTCTCCTGTTTCTCAGCACTGGGAAGTGTTTCTAAGCTCTCATCTGCCCTGTGTGCCCATCCCTGCCCTTCCAGGCCACCCCTCCACCCTCTCCAGAATGTTTCCAGGTGACAGCCAAGCCTGGGGAAGGCAGTGCAGGATATACAGTGCAGGTTCAGCTCTGTATTCCCGTTTGTGAAAAGCAAGGAAGAACCACAGCCTTCGTGACCTTTGGCATCAAGACCAGCAGCTGTGGGGCTCTGAGCCCTGCCCCAGACACTGGAACTGCTGCTGCCCAGGACAGACCCTCTGTCCCACATCCCTGGCACAGGAACCCTGCCCTCCACCCTCTGTGCTCACTTGTGCTCAGCCTCCTGCACCACTGCATTCCGGGCCTCCACCATGCACAGAACCTCGTGGACGTGGGGCTCCAGCCAGGCCATGACAGCCGGGTCCTTCCACAGGGCGTGTGTCCTGCCCACGTACAGGGATGTCAGCTGGTTCAGGGCGGGTGACTGGCTATGAGAGATGGCTGTTACTCACGGCATCCTCCCCCTCCTGCTCCTCACAGGATGCTGAGGGCTCAGCCCTGCGCTGGCCTTTGCCGTGGGAACACGAGAGGACTTGCAAGCTCCTGCCAGGATGTTGCCATCCACCTTCACCAGAAGTTCTGCCTCCATCTATTTTTAGGCTAAGCAGAGCCATGAAATGAGGGAACACTGCCTTGGCCTGAGGGAGAACCTTTGCAGACTGAGGAAGACCACATGTCAAGGGAAGGCAGACTGGTTGGAGACAGCCTGCCCTGGGAGGACACACACGTTGCTCTCCTCCCTGCACACACCAACAGGCTCTGGGGTGAACTTCTGACCCGTCCACTTTGAGGTGAGGTGGGTCTGTCAGCCTGACCCAGAGGCCATTATGGAAATCCATTATCAAAAGGATTATCAAATGAGCCTACTCAGGGAACCCAAACAAGCTCCTCCATTAGCTGTCTGAGCATGCAAGATCCCCGCCGCCGGCAAAATCGATCCCTTCCCTTTGCTGAGAACATCGCCAGGCCTTACCTGATCTGGGCATTCAGCCCAAAGAAGGGGTGGGAGGCAACCCTGGCATCAGGCTGCACACTGCAGTGATCCAACAGCGGCATCAGAACTGCAAGACAAAGGCAGAGAACTCATGTGGACCTGCTGGTGAGGGGCAGGGTGGGGTGGGGTCACCCCTGCAGAGTCACTCCCCTGCTCAGGGCCAGAACCCCCTGGGGCACCAACAAGGACACAAGGAGAGGGTGAGGACACTGCTGGTCCCTGTGCTCACACTGGCATTATTTCAGTCACCCCAAAGAGCAGCCTAGATGTTTCCAGCCCCCACAAACTGAATCTCTTTTGGAGAGCTGGTTCTTCCTGCTGCACACACCCTCCCCTGGGCCTGAGGGCTGTGTGCTCCTTTCATGGACAGCAGCACCCACGGGATGAAAGGGAGAGTGATGGGCACCCATGAGGAAAGTGCATCCAAAACAGAGCTGTGCCTCGGAGGGAGAGCCAAGGAGACTGGCTTGTCCTCGCTTGGGGCAGCCCTGAGGAGGTGAGACATCTCCCTGCTCTGAGATTGCAGCTCTCATCCTCCCCCAGCCTGCTCACCCCTGACCACTGCTGGTGGAGGAGCATGGCTGCTCTGGGGAGGGAGGACAGAATCATGGAATCACAGAATTGTAAGGCTGGAAAAGCCTCTAAGATCATTGAGCCAAATCATTCCCACAGTACTGCCAAGACCACCCATAACCCACGTCCTCAAGTGCCATGTCCACATGGCTTTTAACCCCTTCAGGGCTGGGGACTCCACCACCGCCCTGGGCAGACTGGGCCAGGGCTAGACAACACTTCTGCAGTATTGAACTTTGAGGCCTTTTCTTCTTTTCCTGTCCCTGTTCCCTGGGAGCAGAGCCCGACCCCAGCTTCCCCTTCTGTCAGGGAGTTGTGCAGAGCCAGAAGCTCCCCCTTGAGCCTCCTTTTGTCCAGGCTGAGCCCCAACTGCCTCAGCTGCTCCAGCCCCTCAGTGTCCGTGCTGGGATGAGGAGCCCAGAACTGTACTCCCCCCACCACGCTGGGCACAGGCACTTCCACTCTGACTCAGGGCTCCCTCCTCAAAGGCCCTTGGCAAATTCTGCCTCTGCATCCGCCTGTCAGGAATCCAGTCCCGGCTGTCCCAGAGGAGGACAGTGACACAGCCCTGGAGGGTGGCCTCTGGTGGGGACAGACTCACCGCTTGGGAACATGATGAGAGCGAGCTGGATAAGCCGGGCCGCTCGCTCCCGGGCCTGGCTCCGCTCCAGCTCCGGGCGCTCTTCCTGCTGGCTCAGGAAGAAATAGGCCAGTGGCACTGAGAAGGCAAAATTGGGCAGCTGGAACAGATTCCGGTGACTCTGCAGGATCAGACACAGAGTTACTGAGAAATGATGCTGTGCATCTGAGAGTTACTGAGAAATGATGCTGTGCAGCAGAGCTGGGCTGTGTGGGCTTTGGTCTCTGCCTGCTGGGGTTAAGTGAGTTCCCAGTCACTGGCTCGGTGCCCCCACAGCTGAGTGAGCAATTTTAAGTTCTTACAACTATTTGCAGGACCAGAGGATTACAGGAACCACCAGCCCAGCCTTTATGGATCATTCCAATGCTGCTGGGATGCCAGCTGGGCTGTGAGATCCCCTCCAAAGGTCTCGCCTGGTGGAGAGCACCCCAGGCACGTACAGGCCACTCACCTCCCACTCCTGGAAGAGGCGGGTCAGGAAGGTGTATTCCCTGGCCCGGAGGGACAGGAAGTCAATCAGCAGGAGCACACAGAGAGGGTCGTTCTCAGGATCAAGGCTTGGGAGCAGGGGGAGAGAACAAACTCAGTGTCACAACAGCTGAGAGCTGCCCTGATTTCTGAGTCAAACAGCCTCTCCCAGTGACACCCAGTGACTCAGCAATTGGAGAGAACAGGAACACGGTCGCTCCTGCATGGCCAGCAGGATGACAGAGTGTCTCTACAGAGGGGACAGTCCCCTGCCACCACCCACGAGGAGCATCAGTGGCCACAAACTGAGCGGGCCACACTTTCTCTGCTGAGACTCCTAGCTCAGGACACAGTTTGGCAGTCACAGGCCACCCAGGGCCCCTCCTCACCCCTCATCTCTCCAAGGGCACCAGCACATCCCTGGCACAGAGCTGTGCAGCTCCAAGGGGTGGGAATGAGCCCATACCAAGCCGAGGAGCAGGAAGACACCTCTGGGGTGACTGTGCCCCCAAACCCAGACACTCCACGCCCGGTGCAGGCACCTACCTCAGGATGAGCTTGCAGAACTCCAGGGCTGTGCGGGGACAGCCCCTCTTCTCCAGGAACATCAGGTGCTTGAAAAGAGCCAGGAAGAAAGCCCTGCATGGGGAACAGCAGCAGGACTTAGAGGCCAGATGTGGAAAGAAGCATTTTGTGCCACTCAAAAAAGGGGACACAGTCATCAAGAGCTCCTCACCCCCAAGCGGCACATCCTGGTGTGCCCTGCAATGCCACAGACCCTCCATGCTCCCATCTCTTGTTTTTGTTATCTTTTTGTGCTAAGAACAGGGACAGAAAACTCATAAACTGCTCTGGAGACTGGGACCAAGACAGGTAACTCCCCCAAGTCCACATCCTGCCTTGTCACAGTGGTGTGGGGACGGTGACACAGAGCGGGGAGGCCCAACACCTGAACTGGTGATACAGGTCACTGATGGCACAAAACATGTCAGCCAGAGGGACTGAAATGTGAGCACCCTCCAGGTACAGCAGTTTGGGAGAGATGGCTTGGGTCAGCTGACTGGAAAATTCCCAGAATAAAGTCACCTTTCCCAGCAGCTGCAGAGATGGAGTTACATAAAGACCCAGGCTGGGAGGAGTGTGAGTGCTGGGGGTGATGGCTGGAAACACACAGCAGGAATTTTTGTCATCATTTTGGGCTAAGGGCTACTAATGGCATGAGAAGGATATGACAGGGAGGGACAGTTCCTACTGCAGGAAAGTATCCTTTGGGAAAAAGGATGCTTTGTGCAGAAGCTTCCATGCATGAGCTGCCTGTGCTCCAGCACCATCCCAGGAGCGCCCAAGAGAAAGGGACACTCAGGGGTCTCCCTGGATGAGCAGCACTGCCCAGTCTGGGTAGCTGTGGCCAAACGGGGGCCAGGAGCTCCAGCTGAGCCTCCCCCTGCTCCCCAGCCCTGCTCACCTGTTCTCTGGGCGCCGGTAGTCCAGCCTGCAGGTCCCGCTGGTGAGGCTGAACACGGGGTGAAAGGCGCATTCCAGGCTGTACAGTGCCCGCTCTGGGGACAGCAAGGGCAGTGTCAGGGACAGGACAGGGACACCACCCCAGCACAGCACTGCCCAGCACTCAGTCTATCCCAAAAGACAAGAAACCAGCTCATTCCCAGCCCAGGTACTTGACGCAATATGATGGCAACAGGTACCAGGGCACTGAGCGCTTCCACATTCTGGGTGGCAAAAGGAACCATTCTGGGATTGAGGTTGGTCCAGGAAAGGCCAAGCTCCTGCCCTCCACTGCCCTTGCCAGGGAAGGATTTCACACCAACACATCTGCTCCTCACCTCACTCTTACCTATGAGATCCCGGGCCATCTCCTGGTCCTCCTGCATGCGGCACACGTCGCTGAGCTGCAGGAGGGAGTCCACGTGGTAGGGGTTCATCTGGAGCAGCAGCTGCACAGGAGCATTGCAAAGATTCTGTGTCATTACTGCTGTCTCAGGAATTTGGTCACTGACCCAGGTACTTTCCAGCACCCAGCTCTGTGACACACAATGCCAAGAGCTCCCTTAATCCTGCCCTGTCAGATCCATCCCCAAGCTGGAAGGGCACAGGGAGCTCTGTCCCCATCACGTGCAGGATGGGAGCCCTCAATGACAGCAGCTCCCTCCCAGCTTTTCCAGCAGAGGCCATGCCAGGCCTTTGCTCATCTTCACTATCCTCCTCCAGATCTCTTTAAGCTCCTCCATTTCCTTGGAAAGGAAAGAACGAGATGCAGGCACTGTTACAGTTTGGGCTTTTTATCTATCCCTCAACAGTTCTGAACATTTGATCAGAGTTTTGCGTCCTCTGGATACTGAAAGGACATTTGGACACATTTATTACAAATCCAGGAATGGTAATGGATAATAATGATAAATAAATATTTACTTCCTGCTTTACTTCCTGAGAGAAGTTTAATTTAAAAGCTTTCTCAATTCACTAATTATATTATAAATAGGCTACTTTTCTCAAGTACCTAAAACCTCAGTTCAGTAAAAAATACTGAAGCTACTACAAATCTTCTCAGAGTTTAGTTTGGGGATTTCTTTTTCTCCTAAAACTGAAAAAATAAAGCTTCCAAAGCTCCAGCAGTTTCCATCTGCAGGGTGGGGACCCGTGGGACCACCTACAGCACAAAGACTGGATGTTCCAGGCTGGTCCAGCTTGCCTGCTGCTTAACCTCTTCCTTAAGGGGTAAAACTCTTAAGTTCCTTTCTAGTCCACTTTTTTGGAGGACCTGGAACACTCAGGGTCACTGTGATGGGAAAAAGCCAAGAAAAGGTCACCGAGACCATTTTAACCTACCAGTAAGGGCAGAAAAAACATTCACTGAACAAGAGGCTCCCCAAAAGTAATGTTTTATGTGCTGAAACCACAGCAACAAGGCAGAGCTGGGCTCCAGCTGTGCCAGGACTGTGGTGACCATGGACAAACTGTCTGGAATTGCCAAATCCATCTGTTAGATCTTACCCTTGATGGAAAAGGGGAAGACTTCAAGCTGCACAAATGTCCTCAGATTTAGCCAGACCCCCCCTAAGACGGTCAGAGCATCCAGATTAAAATACCATGTAAAGCCTGTCTTGTGCAGTGGGGGACTGAGCTTGAGCTGTCCTTGGGACACTCACTGCTGCACAGGAATTACCTTGGCTTACTTAATCCAAATCCCTCAATCCAGGCAGAACTGCTGAGCTAGAGAGAGCCCTGTGGCCCTGAGCCGAGGGTGGGAAAGCAGAAGGAAGTAAATTTTATTTAGCAGACAATGGACTCTTTAAAGAACATCTCCAGGGCATGTATCCCAGCTCATGTGGCCAGACCTTTCAGAGAAACATGCCTCAGTTATGGTTTAGTTGGGTGCAGAGTAATTTTGCTGTTGCTTATCACTCCAAACTATAAATGTTACCATACAACTTAATGAGCTCAGACACGCATTAAGTACTCCCAACTCAAAAGCCTGTTTTGCTGAAATACCAAGGAAAGACACATTTTTCATCCTTGCAGGAGTTTATAAATAGAACAGCTGTTAGTTTGGATTGCCAGTTCACTATGGGTTTATACAATATTCCTCCTTTCCCAGCTAAGAGCTGAGACAAGGGAGCTTTGTTCCCACCCTTTCAGCCAAATGGACACTTCCTGTGGGTTCCTCTCTCAGAAGGTGACCTGGCACATGCTTGGCAGAGCCACCAAGGCTCAGCCACCAGCCACCAGGCCTCCTCTGCACCAAGGAGGTCACTGATCAATAAGGTGACAGCACAGCACTCAGTGCTGCCTCACCCCACTCAGAGGGACACAGGGCTCTACTGCCCAAACAAGTCCTAACAGTGCAAACAAGACTGGAAATAAATAATCCAAGGCTCTGCAGAGGGATCTCGACAGGATAGATCAAGGGGATGAGGCCAACAGGATGAAGATCAACACGGTGACATGCTGGGTCCTGCTTGTGGGTCACAGCAACCCCAGGAATGGTACAGGATGGGGAAAAGTGGCTGGAAAAGGACCTGGGGGTGCAGAAGACAGTGGATGGACACGAGCCCAGGTGGGCAGCAAAGCCACTGGCACCTGGCCTGTGCCAGCAATGGTCATAGGACCAGGGCAGTGCTCATCCCCTGTGCTGGCACTGCTGGGGCACCTCCAGTCCTGGGGTCAGTTCTGGGCCCCTCACCCCAACACAAATAGCAAAGGGCTGGAACATGTCCAGGAAAGGGCAACAGAGCTGGAAAAGGGTCTGGAGCAGCAGGAACAGCTGAGGGAGTTGGGAAAGGGGCTCAGCCTGGAGAAAAGGAGGCTCGGGGGGGCCCTTCTGACTCTGCACAACTCCCTGACAGGAGGGGACAGCCAGGGGGGTCAGGCTCTGCTCCCAGGGAACAGGGACAGGACAAGAGGAAACAGCTTCAAGCTGTGGCCGAAGAGATTCAGATTGAATATTTGGAACAATTTCTTCCCCAGAAGTGCTGTCAAGCCCTGGCCCCAGTCTGCCCAGAGCAGGGGTGAATCCTTGGAGGGATTTAAAAGCCATGTAGATGTGGCACCTGGGAATATGGACTCGGGGTGGCCTTGGCAGTGCCGGGGAACAGTTGGCTTAGAGGCTTTTCCAACCCAAATGATTCCACTGGAATGTACCAGCCCAGACTCCCAGGGAAAGGGGCTGCAGGAACACAGGAGGGAACAGCACGACCAACCCAACATACCACGATGTTGTTGGGGTCCATGGACTCCACAGCATCCAGGAACTTGAACTGGACCTGCTGGTACTCACGGTGGTGCTCAAAGGTGAAGTGCTGCACCCCCCTCCGGGTATCCAGCAGCTGCATGGTGATACCTGCAGGGTGCAGGGGAGACCTGGGTACCCCAGGAGAAATTCCTCTGCTCTCTCACAGCATCAAGAGCTCACTCCCATCTCTAGGTCCACAGACACATGTGTTTTTGGAAATTCCCAGAGAATTTTGCTCTTTCCCCCCCACCATCATGAATCCAAGCCCCAAACCCGCCCAAAAACCCCAGGCCACTTGTTCTCCCTAGGGTTACTTCTCATGATTCAGCAATTCTGATGCCAAGATGGGAAGCACCCATGCCTTGCTACCTCCAGAAGAGGGGAAAAACCCAAATCAAAAGGTACAACTCCACAGAGCTCTCTGTTGAGGCAGGAGGTGTGTTTCCACCAGCTGAGGAGCAGTTCCCTCTTAGAGTCCACATCTCATGATCCTCTAAGAGGACAGGAGGCAGCCCCAGAAGCCTCACCTGTCTTGCTGTAGCGTGGCCAGGTGTTCTTGGGGGCTGTCAGCCACATGCTGCGCACGTACTGCCGCTGCCTCTGCCTTGGCCTGGGGAGGGGAACACACAGGTCACAACTTCTCTGCACTGACACAAGGAGGAGGGATGAAACCATGTCAAAGGGAAAAATGAGATCCAGTTTCTTCCCCACAGAGAGCTGCAAAGAGCTGTGCCCAGAGTGCTGTGTTTGCCTTCGAGACACAACATACCTGTGCTCAGGCTTTGCCTTATGTGCACCATCTAGGCCAGGCAGTGCCTCCAGCATCTCCACTTCCAGAGCTTCTCTCCCTGTTTTTATCCCTGCCAAACTCTCATCTGCCTCTGTGCTTCTAAACAGCTTCCCAGGTCCAATTAGGAGAGATCCACATGCCTCTGACTCATCTCTCTTCCCAGCAGGGCCTTCAAATGTCAACTGGATTAGTTTAAGCTGCACTCAAAAATGCACAATTTACTGGTTTAGGAGCAATTCAGGATCAAGACTCCTATGAGGGAATCACATCTCCTCAGAAAGGAATCCTAGACTATCCTGAGTTGGAAAAGACCCACAGGGATTATTAAATCCAAGTCCTTGCCCTGCACAGGACAATCCCAAGGAACTGCAATTTCTTCCTCAAGCACCAAATGCTCTTCCAAAGACTCTCTCCCCTCCTTCCACCTGCACTCCTCCAAGCTCAGACCATTCCTGGTTTTCACGGAAGTGAGAGGGGATGTTGTGGATGACAGTGAGCACAGTGCAGTGGATAAATGCAGAGACATCACACCCAGGGAGCTACAGGTTCCCTGGGCCTCTGGAAGCAAATGCAGGAGACACACTGGAATTATTCAGGGTTCACTTTCTGTCCAGAGGTTCTGGAATGGCAACAAGGGATAAATGGTGGAGAAACAAAATCTATGTGTCTGCACTCTGTGAATTTGAGTGAAAGGTGGTTTGGAAATAAATGAGAAGGGAAAGGAGCAAAAGAAAAAGCAAATGCCTGTAAAAGCCTGGAGAAGTCTTTTCCCTTGTACATATAGCAGAAAATATTCCTGTCCCAATAAGCAACTGCTAAACGAGTAACACACCCTGAGCCTGGGATTACCAGCCTGGGTGTGGCACTGAGGATTCCATGAGACCTGCCAAGGGCAGGACAGACACACCTCCTCTGATTCGGAAAGGCTTTAATATCAAATTCTGGACCCACCTCTGGTCCCCGAGCACAGCACGAGCCCCAAAGTATCTCTTCAACTCATTCTCTGGATTCAAGTTTCTGAGAAAGCAGAAAGAGGAAAGAAAAGCTCCATCAGTTAAACAGTGCCACACTTTCCATCAACACCCAGCACCCCAAAGTGCCTCTGGAAAATCCCCAAACGGTAACACAGTCCCCAGTGATCAGACACAGCATGGAGAAAGGAGACTGAAGCTGCCAGAACTGGAAGGGAAAGCCCTGCTCCATCAGACAGGCGTTCTTGCTGCTCTGCTCCAGAGCTGGGGAATACTGCTGCTGCCCTCTCCAGGGCGGCTGCAGCCTTAGCTGAGATGTTCCCTGGAGAAGCCTGGGCTCGGGAGCACAAGTGAATCTCATGTCAAGCTTGACACACCAGGGCTAGTAGCACCTCTGCAGAGGTTCTCCCACAGAGGATCTGAGGCTGGAAGGTCCCTCTGGAGACTAATCTGCTCCTGCCACCACTGCAAGCAGCAGAGAATGGCCGTCAGAACCAAACACAGCTTCCAGAGGAGCGGACAGGAGCAGTGATGTACACAACCATCCCAACCCTTTCAGTCAAGGTGTGGAGTTCCTGGCCAGATCACACTGGGAAGCTCCTCAAGGAGCAGGTATCCTGTGGCACCAAGGCCAGAGGCAGGTGGCAGCCAGCAGTACCTGTGCTCCACATAGAGCAGAGGCCGGGTGTCAGTGGTGATGCCACCCTGGCTCTGTGGTGCAAGCCTGGGGTCCTCGATCCTCTCCAAAAGGCTGTCGATGTCTTCCAGGTCGTTGTCTTCCTTAAGAAAGGCAAAGCCAGGGCATTTATTACAAGGTGAGTCACGGCAGCCTACAGGTCACCCAGCACACATCACACACAGCTCATCCCGGTCCCTGCATGAAGGGCTGTGGCTCTTCAGAGAATCCCAGAATGGTTTGGGTGGGAAGGGTTTAAAGCTCATCCAGTTCCACCTCCCACGGTGCTCCAAGCCCCGACCAACCTGGCCTTGGACACTTCCAGAGATCCAGGGTCAGCCACAGCTGGGCACCCTCCCCACCCTCACAGGGAAAGATTTCCTCCCAATACCCCATCTAACCCCGATACTGGGAAGGCATTTCCCCTTGTCTTGACACTCCAGGCCCTTGTCCAAAGACATTTTATTAAATAACAAGTCTCCATTCTCTACTTTCCCCAGAAGCACCAAGTTACTGCTGTGAGCCTCATGACAACGTCTCAAACTCGCATGACTTTAATCCAACTCTCCCATTCCTCATTTTCCAACCACCCCAGGAATCCATCCAGCTGCTCACATCCAACAGTTATACAACACTTTAACCCTGATTTACCTCTATTTTCCCCTAACAAACACCAAGTGGCACATTTCTTACGTGCCTATTTCACATCCTCCTCATGATGTCCATGGGTGGAACACAGAATTCCATTCAGGACACACAAGCAGCACTGCCAGCCTATCTTTTCAAGCTAAATTTAGGCCCTGTGTGTGGAATGCACACAGGAAAGGGAGAATGTGCTCTGCATGGATGTGCTGGAACAGAGGTTGTATTATCCCTTGTTGGCAAACCAAACTGCCTGGGCCTGGGTGTCCCCCCAGCCTCCAGCTGGCATGTGTTCCCCTGCTGCTCAATATTCTTGGATTGGGAAAGGAAACAGGCTCTCCAAGAGGGTTCTCCACATCAGAAACTCATTCCTGAGTGGCATTCCCAGGGAGGAGGTGGCCAGCTGGGCGCTGGCACTGCTGTCACAGCTTAGCCATTCACTCCAGAATCCGGTGGCTCAGGATGTTGAGCAAAGAATCTCCCTGGAGTGAACAGGGAGGTTGGACTCCATGATCTGGGAGGTCTTTTCCAACCTTAAGGATTCTGTAATTCTGTGAACAGTTCGGACTCAAACCTCACCAGAAAACCAGCTCCCACCTGAGCCTCACTCCTATTGAATTAAGATCAATGACTTTAATCCATGTGCTGGCTCCAGCTCTGGGGTCCCCAGCAATGGAAGGATGTGGAGCTGTTGGAATGAGTCCAGAGAAGGCCATGGAGATGCTCCAAGGGCTGGAGCCCCTCTGCTCTGGAGACACCTTAGAGCCCCCTTCAGGGCCTAAAGGGGCTCCAAGAGAACTGGAAATGGACTTTAGACAGGGGATAGAGTGACAGGACAGGTTGGACAGGGCTTGGAGCCACCTGGTCTGATGAAAGATCTTCCTGCCCACAGCAGGGGATGGAATGAGATGAGTTTTAAGGTCCCTTCCAATCGAAACCATTCCAGGATTCCACAATTCTAAAGAGGCTTCTTTAACTTTAAATTTTGAAATGGCTTTTTTGCCTTGAATCCCTCCTACATGCACCTCAGAATTCCAACTTTGCCAACCCCACTGGAGGAACCAGCCTGGCCCCTGCCTCAGAACACACACAGACATACCACAGTCTCTCCTGCTGAATTTTTCTTGGTTTTCCTTTTCTTTTTTTTCTTCCGTGGCTTGTTATTCGTTGCCAGCTGCAAAGACAAAGGGAAGAGCTGTCAGCATTCCCATGAACTGCAGGAGTGCCAGCTCCATGGGAAGAAGAGCATTTTCCACAGAGATCAGCACACTGAGGGTCCTTAAATGAAACCAAAATTCACCCTGTAGTGTTTGTTAGTGGGTGGAAATCAAGACACAATGAGAAAATGGAGGAAAACACCAAAGATTCACAGAGTTGAACCTCAGCTGACTTTCATATTCATGTCTGAGGCTACGAAATCAGGAGAGAAAAACGTTTAGCTGTGCCAGGTGTGGAGGAAATGCTTCAGCATCTTTCAGTTCCCAGGATAAGCTGCATTTCTGCTTTTCAGGAGAGCAGGGCAGTTCCCAGTTTCACTCCCATTTACACAGAAACCAACACCTGACAAAGGTCCCAGCACCAGAGTGCCTCTCCCTGCAGATGCAACTGCTTCAGCTCAGGATGCTGGGAGGATTCCCTAAGTGACTGGCACAGCTGGCTCTTACCCAGATTGCAAAACTGGGAAGCACATTTCCAGGATCTAGCAGGTAACTCAGCAAGGGATCACAGCATCATGGAATGGTTTGGGTGGAAGTGACCTCAAAGTTTATCCAGTTCCTACCCCCTGTCTAGGCAGGGACACCTTCCAGTAGACTTGGCTGCTCCAAGCCTTGTCCTGGCTCCACCCAAGAGCAGCAGCTGCCTGCCCAGGGCTCCCATGTCCTACCTGGAGCTCTGGGAGCAGCCACAGGTGTGTCCTGCAGTGCTGGCACCACACAGTCACCAGGTCAGGAGCCCTGGAGCCACTGCTCACACAGGGACCCACTATCCAGAGCACTTAGAGGCCACTGGCACAGCTGGAATGCACACAGACAGTGGACTTTGCTCCTCTGCCACCCAAATCAGGGACAAATCCCAAATGCACAGCAAACAAGTGAGACCAGAGGCCAACCCCCTTTGCTCCCCCAAGCCTCTTCTCCAGTGAGATGTGGGCTGTAACTGCCATGGAAAATTATTCAATGCCCCTTTCCTTACAAAATCCTACAAGGACACACTTCTGGTCTGATACAGACCACAGGAGGAATCTTGATACCCAATGACAACAAATCACTACGGGGAAAAAGAGGTTCAGTGTTCAGTTGACACTGCTTGAAGTCTTCACATCCCCTGTTCCAAAACAAATGCCTCCTTGAGACCACTCCTCCCTGGCCCGACCTCAGTGCTCATGTGGACACAGCACAACTCCTTCCTTTGGTGCCTCCTCTCTGCAGCTGGAAAATCCCTCTGGATCCTACACACAAACCCAGCCCTCAGCACCGAACTGCTCATCCTGCCCCAGATGCGAGTTCCCAGGTTTGAGTGTGTGTCCCTCCCGTGGGTCCCTGGGAGCAGTCACCGTTTGGTCCGGCTGTTCCTGCCCCTCTCTCTGCCCATCACCGTCCGTCTCCTCAGTCACAGCCCCTTCCTTGTTCCTGTCCTTGCTCCCCTCCTGGTTCCCTCCTGCCGTGTCCTGCTCGCTGAGCCGCGTGTCCGGTCGCTCCTCTCCGGCCGCCGGCTCATCCTCCGACTCCTCAGCTGGGATCTGCAAACAGAGGGACAAGCTGCAGGGACAGCCCAAGGATGGAATTCCTACAAACAGATGGAGTTTTGGACACCCCTCATGTCAACCATGTCGCCCAGTGATTGCCCGGACAGTCCCATGCACATGGAGGGGAGCACAGGACCATCACGATGTGTCCCCTCACACCACTGACCCCACTCTTTGCTTGGAAGAGCTTCCAAACCCAGCCTTGCCTATGCTCCACAGCCAGGCCTCACGGAAGGACAGGGAATGGATGGGGCTGGATGAACAGTCTGGAGAGCAGGAGCAGGCTCTGTCACCCCAAGGACCCAGCAGTGCCACCAGGGCCCTTCTGACACCCAGGTCTGGGATCTCCAGGCCTCTCTCCCATTTCTCCCAGTTCAGCCCCAATTGCTGCCCCTCACCCTTCCCACTGGCCCACCACCCAAACCAATCACTGACCCCAAATCACAACCATACACACTGTCACCTCTTCCACCCCCACTGTGAGCCCCTCTCACTCACTGCCCCCCGTTCCCCCCAGTCACCCTCAAATCCCATCCGCCTCTGCCCCCAGGTCACTGTCACTCCAGCTACCCCCAGTGACTGTCACCTCAGCTGTCCCCCAAGGAAGTGTCCCCCAGCAATGTCCTCGTCTGCCCACCCAGCTGTCAACCCAATCACTACCCACACCTATCGTCCCAGTCACTGCCCCCTAGTTATCCCCCCAGAAATGTCCCCCCATCCCACCTGCCCCTCAGCAACCTCTCCGAACCGCTGCACCGCGGAGTCCCCCAGCTTTGCCCCCCCTCACCAGCTCGAAGCGGTTGCTGACGCCAGCGCGGCGCGGCCCGCGGGGCCCCTTCCCGGGGACTGGCGGCGGGCCTCCCTCACGGGCGCGCTCCGGGCCGGGGTCGAGGCCCAGCTCGCCCAACCCCGGCCCCTCCTGGCCCCGCTGCTCCCCCCGCAGCCGCCTCAGGGCCCGGCGCGACATCGCCCCCGCCCGCTGCGCGCCTGCGCCCAAACTGCGCCTGCGCACCCGCCGCGCGCCGGCCCCGCCCACGCCCAGCGCGCGCATCCATTGGCTGATGCTGAGCAGGCCACGCCCCCTGCGCACCGCCATCTCTGTCGCGCTCGGCGCGTGAGATATGTCCCGGAACCGGAGCGTGAGAACGGGCACGGGAACGGGACACGGGTGGCGACCGACACACAGGCTGGGCTGGGCCCGAGTTGGGAGCGCACAGGGAGTGGGGCGTGGGAATGGGGAGCAGGGTGTTCCCACGGTGCTGTGCGGGGTCACGGGTGGGCACAGCCCGGGGAAGGAGAAGGGATGGCGGTGGGAGATGTGCCCGATGAAATGGAGTGCCCCCATCCCCGACCCCCTCACACCCCGCAGCGCTCTTCACCCCGCTGCCCCATCCACTCAGGCAGCACGCGGCCCCAGGACAGCCCAGCGGGTTTATTATGGAGGGAACATACAGAACAGCCATGCCAGCCCAGGGCACCGGGCACCCCGGCACAGCCAGGGGGGCGAGCGCAGGGGCTGTGGGTGTCCCACAGCAGGATCCATCCCTCAAGAGCTGCCCCGCAGCGGGATCCGTCCTCCCAGGAGCTGCAGGTGTTCCACAGCAGGATCCATCCCCTTGGGGGCTGGTGGCAGGGACAGAAGGGGACGGCAGGGACAGCAGGAACGGGTCCTTTTGACCCCTGGTCCATAATGTATATAAATATAGAAGCTGTGTGTATCCATCCTATGTATATATGTACATCGGGGGGCTGTGCCGGGGTGACCGGCACCCCCGTGGCGACCATCACCGGGGCTCCCGGCCCTTCACTTGAGCCACGCGTCGCTGTAGAGGGAGCGAGCCTTGGCGTGGCGCCGGGACGCGGCGCTGGCGTTGAGGACGGCCACGCTGCGGCGGCTGGAGCTGACCACGTCGGTGACGAAGCCGGCGCAGTCGGAGCAGACGTCGCGCAAGACCGAGCCCTGGGCGTAGATGTGCGGGAATTCCTCCTCCACCCGGCGCCAGCACGGCCCCGAGAGCGAGCTGCGGCACAGGGCACCCCGTCAGCCCCCGCCGGCGGAGGAGGAGGAGGACGGCAGGGGGGGAGGAAGGCTCAGGGACTCACTGGAAGGGTTCTCTCCGGCGCAGTGGCGGGGCCTTGGACAGCAGCGAGCCTGGCAGACTCTCGAAGCCCAGCGCGTAAACGGGGATGTGAGCCAGCTTCTTGGAAGGCATCTTCATCTGCAGGAATGCGGGAGTCAGGGCGGCATGGGACAGGGACAGGGATGGGGTAGGACAGGGTTGGGATAGGGACAGGGCACACAGGGATGGGAATGGGTCACAAATAGGTGCAGTGACAAGGCAGGACAGGAGTGGAGTGGGATGGGGCACGGACAGGACAAGGGACAGGGACACAGAGGCACTGCCCAGAACCAGTCCCTTACCTTTAGACTGCAGGAGCTACAGACAGACCTGGGGACAGAGAGAGGTGGGTGAGAGGGGCCATTGTGGGGACCCTGCTGCTGCCCTCCCAGCCCTGTGACAGCACAGCATGGCACAGTTCGGCACAGCGCTCACCGCTTGCAGAAGAAACACGACGTGGGCCAGGAGAAGAGAGGAAACTTGGCCCTGCAGCAGCAGCAGACCTGTGGGCAGAGCAGGGTCAGCTGGGGGTGGGTGGGGACACATGGCCCCCAGTCCCTCCAGTCCCCTGTCCTCATTCCCACCTTCCCCCTCCGCAGGCTGCTGTACAGCTCCTTGCTCTGCAGGAACTTCTCCATCTCAGCCTTGACCAGCACCCTGCGCACGTTGATCATCTCCTCCACGGTCAGAGCCAGGCTCTCCACAGGGTGGCTGAACTCCTGTGGGACAGAGTGGGATGTCACACTGGACTGTGGCACAGGGCATGGTCCAGAGCACTCCTGTGCCAGGGCAGAGCTCTCGAACATGGGCAGAGCATCTCTGGCACAAGGACCTCCCAGCCACCATGTGTCCTCGTACCAGGCTGCCATGTGCCCACAGTCATGCTTGCCTGGTGTCCCCAGCCCCAGTGTCCCCAGCTGGTGTCCCCAGAACCCACCAGCCAGAGGTGCTTGGAACTGCTGGCAGGGGCAGCGCTGGATCCATCCTCTGGCCTCTCCTCCACAGCGCCGAGGGCAGCCCGGGGCAGTGCTGGGCCATCTGGCAGCGGGTGGCAGCTGGCGGGGACAGAGCCTGCAGGGAGGGACAGGGAGGCCATGGCAAGGACATGTTGCCTGGTGCCACCAGGGCTGAAAGGCATGGCACAGACCCCCTGGGGACAGGGACATGGAGACCCCTGGCAGTACCTGAGCGGGGTCGGGGCTCGGGCTGCAGCGGTTCTGGGTCCTGGGGCACAGCCTGGTCACCCCCCAGCTGGCTCTGCAGCTGCGCCAGGTCCTGCTCTGAGAAGGAGCGATCCCGCTTCAGTGGCACCTCTGTGGCTGGAGAGTCCTCATCCTGCAAGGCCACGGGCACGGTGTCACCAAGGGCACCCTGGCACCCCCCGTGTCTCCCCACCTCTGCAGGTTCTCCCTTGCCTCGGAGAGGTTCATCTCCTCCATTTCGGCCAGGGTGGGTGCTTTGAGCAGGACACGTGGCCGTGGGCGCGCAGGCATGGCGCTGGCAGGGCACCGGGACAGCTCGAGGCAGGAGCTCGAACTCAGGCGGCCGGCACAGGCGTGGGGGATGCAGGGCAAGGAGCTGTATCCTGCAGAGGGATGGGCTCAGTGCCGTGGGGATGGGCACCCAGGTGACACAGCACAGCAGGGAGGGGACACTGGTACCTTTCTGCTCCACGGGCCGGAGCTTCCGCTCCTGCCTGATCTCCTCCAGGATCTTCTCATGAAGTGTCCTCTGCTTCTGGGGCAGCGGCCGCAGCCGCCGCTCTGATGCCTGTGGGATGCACACGTGGGACCTCAGGTGGTGGCCATGGCCCAGGGATGGCACCCATGGGACCCACCGACACTTTCATGACAGGGAGGTGGCCTGGTGCTGGCACTCACCTGCTTCAGGGGGGGCCGGGAGCGGATGAAGTCAAGTATGAGCTCATGGGCATCTTTCTTCACCCGGGGGGGGATGTCTCCATCCACCTGGGGAGGGAAGGGGGTCAGTGCTTCCTGCTGGAGGGTGGCAGGATGGAGGGTGAGGGACTGGCACGGTGGCCACGCTCACCATGACCTTGCGGAGTTTGTAGTTGCGGGCACGGATGTCCTGCATGAGCATCTCGAAGGGCGTGAGCTGGTATTCGGTGGGCAGAGGGTTGAACTGCTTCTCCTGTACCTTCTTCAGCTTCACACCGTGCCGCAGCTCCCGCATCAGCTGCACCCACAGCCGGGCCTGGGTGCACACATAGACACGGCATCAGCATCCACCCGTCCCCAGCACAGCCCCCGTCCCCAGCACGCTGCCGTACCCAGTCTGTGTTGCGCAGGTTGCCCAGCTCCGCCGCCGGCCGCTCCTCCTCTTCCTCATCCTCCTTCAGCTTCTGCAGTAGCTGTTGAGGAACAACATGCTGTCATCCTGTTCTGGTGGCACTGAAGGTCCAGCCAGGACTGTGCCATGGGGCACTGAGGTGCACCCCAATTCCTGATTCCCAGCCAGCATAGAAGTCTGGGAGAGGCTGTACGGCCAAACACTGGCATTAGCAGCCCTGGTTGGGATGGGCAGAAGGGGCATTGCAGCCTCCCCAGTCCCTTATCCTTGCAGGTGGTTTCCCCGGCAGGGCCGTGGTGCCAGCGGGCACTCATGCTCACCTCCTTGGCATCGCGGATCTTGGCGAGGAAGGCCATGAGCTCCACGGTCTCTGCGAAGAGGGCACGGCAGACAGCCTGGTAATGCGCGGGGGCGCCGGCGGGATCGGCCAGGCGGGCGGCACAGCAGCGCATGGCCTGCCCGAAGGTGCGCACGGAGCGAGGCGGCCCCTCGCCCCCCTCCTCCTCCTCATCCTGCCCCCCATAGCCCTCGTCGGCCGTGGCGCAGCCGCTGTCCTCGGAGTCGCTGTTGGTCATCAGGTCGATGAGCTGCTCCAGGCGCGGGCTCAGCTCCCGCTCCTCGTTCTCGTCCAGTCCCCAGTCCAGCGCCCGGTACACGGCAAAGCCCAGCGACTGCACCATCTGCGGGGGACAGCACCGGCTGGGGACCGCATGCACCCTGGCACCAGCTGTCCCCGCTCCCTCCTTGGTACTGGGTCCCGTCCCAGGACCTGTGAACCCCGGGCGAGAGGGGCAACCCCACACTGGGCTGTGATGACACACGGGGCAGGTCAGCGGCCCCCACGTACCTGGGCTTCGGCGGAGGGCGTCAGCAGCGCGGGCAGGTCTGGGGGAGGAGGGCAGAGTCAGCACTGGTACCCCATGCTGAGTACCCCACCCCGCATCACCCAGGGATGTGGTACCCACCCTCAGCTGCTCACATCCCCAGCTGCTCCTCCCGTAGCTGGGATCCCTTCCCTGGCTCATCCTGTGCTGTCCTGGTCCCAGGGCATGGCTCCAAGGGACACTGGGCACCTGCACTTTGAGCCCTGCTATCAGTCAGTGCTGGCACAGCCTCCCAAAGGGCACATTGAGAGGCACAAGCACCCATGTACCTCTCACCTCCAGATCTGGAGGGAGCTGAGAGTTCTGCATCCATGGGGAGATGCCCCCTGCACCCCTCTGGGATGTGGGCACCAGCAGTGTGGGGACTGGCAGCCACAGCTGGAGCATGGTACATACAGGGAGCCCAGGACATGCTTGTGGACAGCTTGAACCCTCCCGGCAGCTGCAGGAAAAGGAATACGAGTGGCCTCTGCAGTGTCCCCAGGGCTCCCTGCCCCGCTTCCCTCATCATTAGCTCTGCATTGAGCTGATCAATGCGGCAGCCACCAGGATGTGCCAGTCGTCTGCCAGCCGTGTGCAAGCCAGGAATGGACAGGAAAGCCAGCACCAGTGGTGGCCCTGCCATGGTACCACACACGAGCCCATCAAAAAAACATGTCCTGGACTGTGCCCGGCTCCCACTGCAGTGCCAGCCCCTGGAATGCCACCTGGTGAGTCCCAGCAGTTCCTGCCAGTCAGGGCACAGCTGAGAGGGGAATTCCCATAGGATGAGAGCAGTTCTAGAGGGTGCTGCTGGTTCACCCAGCCCAAATCCAGGCCTGTGCCCTGGCAGAGCTGCAAAGGCACTTGCCAGGCTGGTGCCACCACCTGCAGTGGCACTCAGAGGTACCCGGAGCCCTCGCAGCCTCAGGCTTCACTGTGAAGGCTTCACTGGTTCATCCCTGGGGAGATGGCTCAGGTTGGCACAAAGGCAGCCTGGGAGCAGGAGGTGACACAGTAGCACTGATAGGTGGCACTGGCAGGTGACACCGGCTCCAGCCCTGTGGTGGCTCATGGAAGGGTGTGGGGCCATTCCCACGCAGGACCAGTGGAGCCGGTGTGACCACGCCATGCACAGCTGCCACGGGCACGTGCCATGCCTGTGCGTGTCCCTGCCCTGGCCATGGGGCCACCTGCACTGAGGACACACAGTGACCCACAGTGTCCCTGCCCCCTGTGAGCAAGGCTACACAGTGACTCCACGACACCAGGTGCCATCCCCATGGCCTCACTGTGGGGTGGGACAGGTGGAGGCGTTGGCCGTGCTCCAAGTGCTCCTCGTGGCGTCGAGCCACCGGTGTCACCGCTGGCAGCCAGCCTGGTGCCACTCCGGAACCGTCACAGCCATACCTGGCAGTGCAAGCCACCTGTGGAAGGATGGCTGGGGGGCCAAAGGTCGGGGATGGGCTGTCCCGTGTGCCTCCCGGAGTGGGAGGACAAGGTCCCCTGTGGTGCAGATGTGGGTGATGGGTGCCCGTGCATGTGCCGTGTGGGTGTCCATGTGTCGGTCCATCTGTCCTTGCTGTGTGTCCTGCAGCCCCATACTGGGTGCCAAGACCATGCAAATACCCACACCTGGCTCTAGCCTCACTGGGTCACCTGGGACACCCAGTGCTAGTGACCTTGTTGGTGCCAGTACCAGTGCCACACCAATCCCAGACCCCCAGGTCACCAGCCCACCCTTTCCTGAAGGCCTCAGGCCACTCCTTCCACCGATACCGTGCTGGTGTCAGTCCTCCTTGCCAGGGCCTGGGCTTGGGGCTCACCCTCATCCCTCCGGTGCCACCTTCCTGCTCCCCAGTGCTGGGACCGGTCCCTTTTTCTGTCCTCACAGTCCCTCTGGTGACCCCCTGCACTGCTCCCCTGCTCCCGGTGCCTCGATGCCTGCCCCCCTCTCCGGTGCCACTTCTCCTGCCCATCTGCCGCTCCGGTACCGGTTCTTCCCTGCCGGTCCTTCCCCCCGGGGCCTCTGCGGGTTCCCCCCCGCTGCCGGTACCCCCGGTCCCTCCGCATTCCCGAGGCTGATGCAGCACCCCCTGCCGGTGCCGGTAAGTCCCGGTGCCGGTAAGTCCCAGATCCCCGCTCTGGGTGCTGGTAAGTCCCGATGCCCCGGGTCCTGGTGCCGAGAAGTCCCGGTGACAGTAAGCACCATATGCTGCCCCCGGTGCCAGCAAGCACCCGTGCGGGTAAATCCCACAGCTTCACTCCTGGTGCCAACAAACCCCGGTGCCGGCAAGTCCCGATATCCCGGATCCCGGTGCTAGTTAACCCTGGTGCCGGTGAGCACTGGTGTCCCCGTGCCGGTACGTCCCAGTTCCCCGTTCCTTGTGCTGCTAAGCTCCAGAGCAGGAAAGCCCCGGTGCCGGCTCCCAGTGCCGGTAAGCTCCAATGCCCCACTGCCGGTGCCTCGCTTTCGGTGCCCGTAAGCCCCGGTGCCTCGCTCCCAGTATCGGTAAGCTCCGATAAGCCTCAGTGCCAGTAAGTCCCGGTGTCCCGGGTGTCGGTGCCAGTGAGCCCCGCTAAACCTTGGTAAACCCTGGCGCTCCGCTCCTGCGGTGCCGATAATTCCCAATGTCAGCAAACCGTGGTGCCCCGCTCCCGGTGCCTATAAGCCTCGGTGCCCCTCGGTAAGCCCCAGCAAGTTCTGATGCCCATAAGCCCCGGTAAACCCCGGTAAACCCCGGTAAGCCCCGCTTGGCGGTGCCGTCCCGTCCCCCCCTCCCGCGGGCGCCGCCCGCTCCCGCCCCCCCCGGGCGGCGGCGGCGCTCACCGTGCGGCGGGGCGGGCAGGCGGAGGGAGCCGTCGGCGCGGAGGCGGATGTCGGCGGTGCGGAGCGGCGCGGGGGCGACGGGGGCGGCGGCGGCGGCGCGGCAGCCCTGGAAGCAGAGTGCCCAGGCCTGCTCCTCGTTCAGCGGCTGCTCGTAGCACTTCAGCACCTCCTCCAGGGACAGCTCCCGCGGCGGCCCCGCGCCCGCCCGCGCCATCGCCCCATCCCGCACCGCCGAGCGCGGGCGGGGCGCGCCGGGCGGGGGAGACGGGGCGAGGCCGCGCGGGGCCACGCCCCAACAAGCCACGCCCACTCCGGCTCCCCATCCAGCACTGCTGGGCGCGAGCCGGGGGCGGGGCCACGAAAGGGAGGGGAGGGGCGGTGAGATAGACCCCGCCCCCCGCACCGGTACCGGCCTCGGTACCGGCACAACCACCGCCGCAGGCGCCCACCGGGAGGGGCCACCGGGCGGCTCGGCTCGGCTCGGGGCGGGGCCGGGCGGTTCGGGACGGTACGGTACAGAAACGGTACGGTGCGGTGGGGCACGGCACGGCGCGGTGAGCTCGGTACAGTCGGGCATGGCACGGTATTGTTTGGCACAGCCTGGGACAGAATGCGATGGGGCAGTAGAGTGTGGAATGGCACAGCACGGCTCGGTACAGTATGGTGTGGCTCAGAATGGCACAGCTTGGCATGGCATGGCCAAGCTCGGCTCCGCATGGCTCAGCAGGGCGCATCAGAGTTCAGTAGCATGGCACAGCTCAGCACAGCATGGTTCAGAACAGCTCAGTACCGATGGCATGGCATGACACGGTACGGTACAGCACAGCTCGGCCCGCCCAGGCTGCAGGGCTGGCAGCAGGGAGTGGTTGCACTGGGTACAGAGTGCAGGGTTCAGGGCACACAGCCGGGCACAGGGCACGGGACGTGGACTGTGGGGCATGTGATGGGGGCAGTGCCCAGCATGGGTGCGGAGCAGTGCTGGGTGACACCCCCGAGGGACACGAGACCCCCCCGTGCCCCAAGAGCAGCAGGGTGGCCATGGTGCATGGCTCAGCCTCAGCCCAGGCTCTTGCCCCATTGAGCCCACATGCCACATGTGGGGCAGCACAGGCAGGGACACGATGGCCTTGGCACCAGGGTCACCTGGGGACACTCGAGCAGAAATCAGGGCAGGAGCAGAGGTTGCCAGTGCCCACAGGAACTCCTGTCACGAGGCACCTGCCTCGTGGGGTGCTGGGAGAGCCTTGGGGTACTCGGCTGGGAGGAGGAGCTGGCACAGGGAAGGGGCCAGGCTGGGACAGAAAACTTCCTGGAGAGAAGGACAAGAGCTCCAGATGCCAGAGTGTGGTTTAGGCATGGCCAGGAGCAGCAGAAGCTGGGTGAAGGTGCCAGGATGAGCTGGAGTCTCCAGGGAGACAATATCCCATGGGAATATGGTGCATGGGTTGGCATCCTGCAGCCACTGGGAAAGTCTGACATGACAGCAGCATCACCTTTGGACACCAGTTGGTGCCTTCAGACACACGGGGAGGGCAGGATTTTCCTGACAGAGCAGAAAGGACAACCAGTGCATGGAAAAGGTCAGAGGGAGCAAGTGAACACTCTTGTCATGATTAGCTTCCCATTTCCATGATGGAAGGAGAATAAAACCCTGTCTCAGCTCCATTAACTAATGAGCATAAACTGGGATCGATCCCAGAGCTGTGCTGGGACAAGGACAGAGCTGACACACGGCTGCTCATCTGTCCCACGTGGCCAAAGATCTGCTCCAGGGCTGGAGATGTCTGTCAAAGAGCCTGGGATGGAGCAGAAAAGCCCTTCAGCACCCATCCCAGAGAACCTGAACAGTGCCAGCTCCATGTTTGGGGAAGAAACTGGGATAATGGAGGTGGGATACTGAGAAACAGTCCTGCATGGCACCCTGAGGTTTGAGAAAGGGGAGAAGGGATACAGGTGATCCAAGGTGTCTGTGCACCTCCAGGAATGCTCAAATGCACCGTGGGTGAGTGGGATGATGTCGCAGGGAGTTAGGAGCACGGTGCCAGCTTCATCTGCAGCTGGATCCACACGGGATCCTGCACAGCTGGAGCACATCTGAGTCTGAACTGAGAGCTTTGAAAGCCCCGTTTACCCTGGAAGGAAAGCTGCCCGTGCTGCCCACGGGAGCAGGGCCGTGCCGTGCCAAGCTGTGCCAGCTTTCCAGCGCCTCCGGACACAGCCGGGGCGGCACCGTCGGGGATGGGAGCGGGAGGACGTGCGGCGTTTGAAGGAAAACTCACCCTGCAGGATTCATGGGAAGGCATTTGCATGATAAAGCAAGGAGCCCTTTGCTTTGGGTAAATCTGTAATTAATACAGAATCGTGGTGTAATTAAAAACTACCGGCATGGAAAAACTCAAACAGAAGCCAAGCGTGTGTGTGGATGAGGGAAATAGAATTAAAGCCGAATGAAACAGTGGGGAAAGAAAGATGAAGTGTTTGGCAAATGGTGTCAAAGCACTATGGGAGGGCTGGAATTCCTGACTCCTGCAGTGTGGAAGCAGGATAAGGCTGGGAGGTGGGATGGAGGGCAGACAGAGCCCTTCCTCAGCCACCTGCAGCAGTCTGTGCCCCTGTTTCCTCGTGGATAATTAATTCCCGTGGGTTTCAGCTCCCATATGCAAAAAAAAATCCTTACAAAGCCTGGATGAGTGCACGGAGCACCTGTGGGGTGGATGTGCCTCTCCTGCTTTCCCCCATGCTGCAATAAACTGGAACATGGAAGGAGGGAGCATTTTACTGGGCAGTTTGCTACTGCTGCATGCTGGCCTAAGATATGGCCAGAGTTTGAGAGGGACACTCTGAGGGACACCTGGGGGACATTTGTGACCACTCTAGAGGCATTTGAAACACCCTTGGGGACCTCAGGGACCACAAGGACTTTAAGATCACCCTTGGAAACTCCCTGAAGACATTGCAAGGACCTTGGGAACACCCTTGGGAACCCTGGGAATAAACTCTGGGAGCACTCTGGAATGCCGAGCTCCCAGCTGGATGCTTGCTGGGACCAGTCGTGATGGAGGATCCCAAAATCTGGGGCTGACACAAACTTGCAGATGGCATTGGGGGTTAAAGTGACTCAGGAATGTGACTCTGGCAAGACTTCCCAGACTTGGTGGGATCCCATAGCACTGTCCATGCCGGACACTGGGCTGGATCTGCCGGCTCCTGGCATCATATGGTGCTGACTCACACCCTGCCGGGCCAGCACCGCAATAAAACCAATAAACCATCCATGGCCAATCCCAGCAGGAGCTGTTTCCTGATGCTGGACTAACCCCGGGGACTTCATCTTTCCATAAACAACCACCACTGCTGCTCCAAGCCATGATGGCCAACAGCAGAGGTTCAGGAAGGATCAGATCAGAGGGGAAAATCCCTCTGGGAATTCTGTTCTGCACCCTTTGCGGCCATTCTGGACCTGAAGAGATCTGAGGAAAAAGAGGGAGAGTGGTTTTGGGCAAGGGCCTGGAGTGCCAGGACAGGGGGGAATGGGATAATAAATGCGGTATTAGGAAGGAATTCCTGGCTGTGAGGGTGGGCAGGCCCTGGCACAGGATGCCCAGAGAAGCTGTGGCTGCCCCTGGATCCCTAGAAGTGTCCAGGTTGGATGGGGCTTGGAGCAATCTGGGACAGTGGAAGATGTCCTTGCCCAGGTGGAACGAGATGAGCTTTAAGGTCCCTTCTAGCACAAACCTTCCCTTCCAGAGTCAGCAGCATCCTCACCGCTCAGAACTCACAGAATCGGAGTTCCCCACTGTGTTCCACGCACTCCGAGCTCACAGCCAGTGCGGAGCGGGTCCCCTCACGGTGCCCGGTCCCCCGTGTCTCGTCACATCCCTCAGTGTCCCTCTCCCGCCGCCCTTCCCAACATGGCAGCGCCCACCTCGGCCACTACAGAGATGGCGGCGGGGGCGGGACCAGAGCGCTTCCGACCAATGGGCGGAGGCGGCGGGGCGGGCGCGCCACCGCCCCTCCTTCCTTCCAGCCAATGGGAGAGTCGGACTCGGTCGGCGCCAGCCAATGGCGACGCGGACTGGCGTGGCGGGAAGCGGCGGCCTCCATGGCGGGCGCTGGCGGGAGGAGCTGGCGAGACCTGCTCGGTACGTGAGGGCTGAGGCGGCCCCGGGGCCATCTCCGTGCTGGGCGCTCCCCGTGGGGACGGCGGAGGGGACGGGGGGCGTGAATGTCCCCCCTTCTGCCTTCGTACATCCCTTCCCTCTACCTGCACACACCCCTCTCTGTGCCGCCGTGTGCCGCTCCATACACCCCCCTCAGCCTTCCTCTAAGCCGCCGGTACATAACATCTGCCCTCTACACCCCGTCTGCTTTCCTCAAAACTCCTGTACACAACATCTGCCCTCATGTCCCCCCTCTGCTTTCGTCAAAGCCCCTGTACACAACATCTGCCCTCATGTCCCCCATATGTTTTCCTCACACCCCTGCTCTGCCCTCATCCACCAGCAGCAGGGAGCAGGAGGTGATTTTGGGGTACCTTGGGAACACTCTGGTCCATAAACCCAAACTTTTCAGCAGGGAGAGCCAGGAAGAGGAAAAGCCCCTTTGGGAGCGAAGCCGAGCTCCGGGGAGCGGCTCTGCGGCTGCTGGATCAGCACCAGAACCTGGCTGACCTCCTCCTGGAGGTAGGAACGGGGCAGTTCAGGGTGTCCTGGCCTGGCTGGGACAATGGGAGATCCCACTGGAGGTGGGTGTGCAGTCAATGTCCCAGGAATGCAGTTTTCCGTGATACCTGGGAAGAAAAACCAACAAGAGTAACATGAAGTTAAAAGCTCTGTGTTGCAGAAATGAGATTGTTATTCCTTTCCCATTAATGTTTTACAGGTTAAAAATGGTTAAGCATGGTTTGGATTTGGGACAAAGGCAAATCCAGTACATTTTCCTTCCAGTCAGAACTGGCTTCTTGTGAATCTAGGAAAGACAATTCAGGAGAGACTTGGCTTTTCTCTGAATTGTCAACCATGTCTGACTGACATGACTTCATGACAACCTTTTCTTGAGCCATTGTTGTGATTCAGCCACATTCTCCCCCTCCTCACACACTGATTTTACAGCTACAACAGATAATGCAAATATCTCCCGTAGTACAGGATCTTTCTTTCTCTAGAGAATATTTCCCTTTATAAAAAGAAAAAGGGGATTTAACTAAAAAATGAT